CCTCACCGCCCCTTTTCCTCCGGACGGTGAACCTTCGCGAGCAGCAAGTTTCAAATAGGCTGTTTGCTGACGGACGCAGTCACGACCCCTCGAAGCCTCCCACATGCCCGCTTGCGGTCTCGGCGCGGGGCCGGATCTTCCCTCCACTGTGTCTGATCCAGCGGTGACGCTTTGCCCCGCCCCCACCTTGCAGACTTGCAAGATCTCACGGTGTCAGGTGGGAGGCCGCGTCGGAAGCTGGAGAAGAATAGGGCTCAGGGCTCGGCGTCGGGAGCTCCTTCCCCAAGCCAGAGGTGCTCCTCACTGTCGCCAAAGATGTGGGGTTCAAGGAGGGCGTGGTACCACTGGATTTGTTGGAGAGACTGGGGGCTGAGCCCAAGGGTCTTGGCGGGTAACCGGCGACGAGGAAAGGAACTTGAGGCAGACTCGCGGCACCCTGGAGTAGGTTTAAACAGAGGGGTCTCAAGCGCAGGCTAGGACGCAGCGACCAAGGGGTTAAGGCGCTCCGCTCCGCCCCAGCCCCGGGATTGGTGGCCTCGGGAGGCGTGGCTGGAGGGCGGGTCCACGTTTGCCGCAGCCGCGGGTGGTAATAAAAAATTAGTTTTATAAATGCAATATTATCTCTCAATCAAATAATTCAAATAATTGTTAAAGTAATAGTGATAGATTTATGTTTTCTTTTATTTCCCTCAAAATAAAAACAATAGATGGTAAAGGAAACAGCGAGTAAGTGAGACAGGCCCACCACGGCGTCCCTCTCGGCTCCGACCTGTCGCGGTGCCCACTGCACCGCGAGGCTCGTCGGACCGGACCCGGAGCTGGGGAGGGGGCGCGTCCCGCTGCTAGGGTCCCGGGGGGGGAGGGGAGTGGAGATGAGACCGATGATGTCATGGATGCTTCGCCGGGCCCGGGGGGAGGTGGCGGCCGGAGGGGGTGCGGCCCGGATTATGTCACCTCTTCCCTCTGCGCCCCGCCCCCCGGGGCCACACGCGTTGATGGGGAGCACCGCGAGGTGCGGGTGGGATTTCCCCCACCGCAAAGACCCCCGGGCACCTTCTCAGGATGGCCTGTGGCCGGGGTCTCCATCTGTGGCGCTGCGGGCCGTGGGCTGCTGGTGAATGGCGAACACCCCCCACCCCCGTGCGGAGGCTCATGTGTGCCCGCGTGTGTGTGCTGGGGGGGGGCGCTGTCAGCCCCCTCAGTCCTGAAACATGGGCTTCATCACAGCCAGGATCTAGGGTATGGGCCCCTTCCCCGTTGTCGCCAAGGGAAGACGGATCTCCCCTCACACATCCCAACCAAGAAGTTCTGGAGACCTCTGCACCCCCAAAAGACCTACAGTGTCCCCGATCTCTCTTCTCCCTTAGTTCTTCCTCTCAGAAGCCCTTTCTGATTTTCCTGTCCAAATTCACTGCCTCTTTGCATTGCATATACTTAGCAGTCCCACACGCATCCTCTCTGCATCTTCTCAGTGCCAGGGCACAGAGACCCCCAAGACTTTGCCATCTGTGCACCCTGGGGCACACACAGGCCAGCCCCAGGGAAGCCTTAGACTGAAATCTCTCTGGATTAGCCTGAGCCAAGTGCTCCAAGGCCCCTCCCCACCATGGGCAATCAGGGATACTGTCCTGGGAGGCAGCATTTGGATTGGGCCTTGAAGGATGCAGGATGGGCACAGAGATCTTGGGAAGAGATTGTGGAATGGAGAGGGGCTCAGGTCAGGGAAAATAAGATGAGCAGCAGAAGAGGCCTTGGGGGCCTGACTGCAAGCTCTGCTTTGGTTCTTGGGACAAAGAGGAATGCCAGGCATTTTACCCATAATACACTTACTTCTTAAGATTCCTATAAGGTAGGTGTGAGAACTAGAGATGAAATAACCTGCACGCAATTCCATCAGTGAGCTGGGATTTACACTTGGAGCTGATGCCTCCAGAACTGTCTAGTCTACTGTGCTTGGCACTGCTCATGGAAGAATTTGGGTAGAGCAGGGACAAGATTGGTTTTGCCCTTTAGAAAAAGTCCCCTGGCAGCTGCACGGGGGAGGGAGTGCAGGGGAAGAAAGGCCAGTGAGGAGCCCCCAGCAAGTGTGCTGGCAGGAGGGGCTGCTGACATCTTTAGGGGGTGAAGACCTCTGAGACCCCAAGAAAAGGGTGGAGTGTTCCTAGCTTTGAGAGCTACAAAAGTAGGGAGCTGGGTGGTCACTGTGGGTTGGAGGGACCTGCCCATGTAACTGCAGGTAAAGTCCATTTGGCTCCTTCGTGACTGCTAATACTGTGTGTAATGTCCCAGGCACTGCGAGTTGATGAGACAGAGATAGAGGCAGAGTCAGGCAAGCTGTTATCCCAGGTTGTTGAGCTAATGCCATGAGGCCACCTTTGCAGACCACACTAAGTTACCTAGGTCACTTTCTGCCTACCAGGAAAACATATGTCCCTCCTTGTCCTGCCAGCTCCCTGATGGGGTTTTGAGGAAACAAGCTTGGAAGAGACAAAAGACAGGGAACACTTGCATGGAGTTGACCATGACAAATTAGAATTATGACAAGAAATTCTTTGGGGAGCGAGTCTTGAGGGAGAGCTGCTGTGGGTTGGCAGTCAAGAATTCCCCAGGTAGTGCCTGGGTATAAGAGGCTCAGGCAACAGTCCTGGGACCTCATTTCCATCCAGGACTCTGGGTATCTGAATCTGGCTGGGGACCACATACACTCCAGGGAAACAATAGGGCAGAGTGGCATATGAATAGCCTTAACCTATGGTCAGATTCTTCTTTCCTGGATCTCAGAGAAGGTAGTACTACATGTTTGTACTGCACCTTACAGTTTACAAACCACCTTCCCGAGCATTATTATCCCATCAGTCTCATGATCAGTAGGATCACTTTTGAGGTTTGCTCCTGCACAGACCCAAACCTCTCGTGCAGCCCTCTTGCCTAGATTTCTGATCTTACTGTTGGTGGCTTCCTTCAGCATATCAACACACTCAGATTTCTACCATGTTTAATTTTAAAATTAGAAAAAAGCCCTTGAATCTCAAACCACTTAAATGACGACTCTTTGGCTTTCTTTTAGTGGGGAATCTTCCATCTTTCCCTCCAGACCCCTCTACTCCTGTAGTCTGGCTTTGCCTTGTACCACCTTTCTGAAACCATTCTCTCATAGACCCCAGTGATGTTTCCACCTGCCAAATCCAGGGCACACTCTCCAATGTCAATTTACCTGGCCCCTATTTAACACCAGAGCTGCCACCACATTCTTGAAGCACCCCCCATCTCCTGGCCTTCTTCCTGCTCCCGCACTGCCTCCCAAGCCTCTGGGGCTCTGCCCACACTACCCTTTCTCCCATCCCCTGAACCCCATCTGTATGAAGTTTTGTCAGTTCCTCTTCCCACTGGTTTCAAGCCCAGGCCACACTCAGCCTCCATCCTCCCAGTCTTCTGCTGCTCCCTACACTGCACCAGGGGTGGTGAGAGAAGGGGGCCATGATTAGGGTAGGAGGGTGATTTCTGAGTTGAGGGGTAGTGGGTTGGAGTATGCTGGGAGTGAAGGCAGAGCAGGGACTAGGGTGACACATGAGAGTCCCTTATAGCAAAGTAAGGAGGCCCTTACTCTATCTCAGGGTCTACACTTGCTGATCCTACCCTTAAATTGTGCCCTAGGATACAGATTAGCCAAAGGAAGGAAGGTGGTAAAGTGCTGCTTTCCACACCTAGGGGGCAGACTCTGAGAGAATGGAATTTCACAAAGACAGTGTGGATTGGCTTGGTGGTGAACTTTCCAAATACCTAAGGCTATAATTCCAGGTCTAGTGGCCAGAAGACTTCTGAAGGGCAAAAGCTTTGTCAGGCTTCCCTCGTCTGGGGCCTAATAGGACAGACACATTAGAAGTGGGCATCTGAGTAGAAGATAGTCTGAAGAGTGCTCAAGGGGTGGTGGTGTGCCACCTGGACCCCTTCACCTTGGTAGAGGAGGGCTCCCTGCCTGACTTCTGATGGAAGCAGGAGGTAAGGGCCTAAAGGGGGTCTGAAGGGAGCCCTTGCCATCTCTGGCACATGTATTTGAGCGACCACACCTGTAGCAGGAACTGCCTGCTGTCCTTGCTGGGCTGGATTATGCGGATCACTGGGGCAGGTGTTCCCAGGCGCGGACTTAAGACAAAGGAACCAGGAAGCGGGGCCTCCTGAGCACAGGTAACCCGAGGCCCTTTTGGCCCTGTACCTGTGGATTGGCCTTGAAGAGTGGGGGCGCATGCACACAGAGGGGCGCAGAGGACTTCACGGTGCCCTGAGCAGGGTCAAGGTCCACAGGGAGCGGGGTAGGGGAGTAATCCAGGAAGTCTTCCCGGAGGCGGTGAATTTTTAGCACGGTTCCGCGGAATCCTCCAGGGCGCCGCTGGGTGCGACGGCCCCGCCCCTCCCCGCCCACTTGTGAGAAAGATAGGCCCTGAGAGAAGCAAGACGAGCCCCGGCAGCCGGTGGCATTGCGTCCTCCGCCCCAGCCTTGACCGGCTTTGGGGCCTCTGCCGAGATACTGGACACGGGGAGGGGTTCCTCCGTGCCAGGCCCCCATGCAGCCGACTTAAGACGACCTTCGGGAGGGCTCTCTGGCCATGCACTGCAGCTGCGGGGGGTGGGGCGTTGCTCCTGCCTCCGCCCCCCAAGACTCCCGTCTCCTCGCGCGCCAGCCGCCTGGGGGCGCCCGGCACGTGGCATCCCCACGAGGTATGTCCTTCATTCCTCCCATTTCACAGAGGAGAAAACTGCAGTTCGGGATGGCTCAGTCGGCCCGTCCAAAGTCGCACAGCTGGTTCGGGCCGAGCCCCGACTTCGAGAGTGAGGCACATGGCCCCTGCAGACCGGGCCTCGGAGGATCCCAGGCTTGAGGACCCGTCGGCTCCCCAGCCCCCTTGGAAAGGCAAGGAGAGGAGCCTGCGCTGGTAGTGAGCCTCCACTTCTGCCCTTGACTACAACACTCTAGGTTAGGGTGCCGGGAAGGACCCCAACCACAAGTTTTGGATAGGGGTGGGTTTCTCTCCTTTAACTTATGAGGTTTCCTTTCGGATTCAGGTACTGCTGTCCCTTCCAGCCCCATCTCCCTGCCCATGAGGTTAGGATGTAAGGGCCCAGGTCCGGGGAGAAAAGAACTCTTAAGTTCTATGGGTTGCAGTAAATAATTGAGGGGGCCACTGAGTCTGGGAAGCTTGTAGGAGGAGGTGGGGTTGAGGAGTGGAATACCAAGCTGAGCAGTTGGGAAGGTATGTGTATGGTGTCCTGGGCTGGGTTGGGCTTTGTCAGGTGGGCAACAGGCAGCCCCATTACAAAGCAATCATTCTTACCCCAGCCCCATTCTTCCACCTGAGGTGTCTGAAACTCTTACACCCATTGTAGGGAAGAAGACACTGAGGGGTGGCGTGAGGGTGGTGCTGGGGCTGACTTGGCTTGGGTAGTGGGTGTGGGGGTGGGGCTGACCTATCTTGCCTTCCCACCTATGCCCACAGTACACTTCTGGCTTAGTCATGGCGAAGCTGGAGACGTTGCCTGTGCGCGCTGACTCAGGGCGGGATCCCCTCCTGGCCTTTGCCCCGCGGCCCTCTGAGCTTGGACCCCCAGACCCTCGCCTGGCCATGGGCAGTGTGGGCAGTGGGGTGGCCCATGCCCAAGAGTTCGCCATGAAGAGTGTGGGTACCCGCACAGGGGGTGGGGGCGGCCAGGGCAGTTTCCCTGGTCCCCGTGGCAGCGGGGCCAGCAGGGAGAGGCCAGGCCGCTACCCGTCAGAGGACAAGGCTCTCGCCAACTCCCTCTACCTCAATGGCGAGCTGCGGGGCAGTGACCACACAGATGTCTGCGGAAATGTGGTGGGCAGCAGTGGTGGCAGCAGCAGCAGCAGTGGCGGCAGCAGTGACAAGGCCCCACCACAGTATCGTGAGCCCAGCCACCCACCTAAGCTCCTGGCCACCTCGGGCAAGCTAGACCAGGTCAGTCCCCAGGGCCTTTTTCTGGGAATGGGAGGCATCCCTAGAACTCTTTCTTGGAGTTGGGGTGATAGGTACCAGGAGGGAGGCTAGGCTGGGGAGCCGTGGAGTGGGGCCTTGGAGGCCAAGTCCAGCTTCTGGGACCAGGTCAAAGCCTTGGCTTGGGGGTGCCATAAGGTAGAGACCCAGCCCTGAGCGACTCCTGGGTTGGAGATCAATGGGAATGGGAGGTGAGACTGAACAGGTCTTGGCCAGAGGAAAGAGGCTGGGGTTAAGGCCCCATCCTGATGCCCGCTCCCCTTTCCTTGCTTTTATGCAGTGCTCAGAGCCGCTAGTTCGGCCTTCTGCCTTCAAGCCCGTTGTACCCAAGAACTTCCACTCCATGCAGAACTTGTGTCCCCCACAGACCAATGAGACCCCTGAGGGACGACAGGGCCCTGGTGGCCTCAAGGGCGGACTGGACAAGTCTCGGACCATGACCCCAGCGGGCGGGGGTGGGGGCGGCCTCTCAGATTCAGGCCGGAACTCACTCACAAGCCTGCCCACGTACAGCTCCAGCTATAGCCAGCACCTGGCACCCCTCAGTGCCTCCACGAGCCACATCAACCGCATTGGCACTGCCAGCTATGGTAGTAGTAGTGGCAGCGGCGGCAGCAGTGGTGGTGGTGGGTTGGGCTACCAGGACCTGGCGACCTCCGACAGTGGGCGGGCCTCCTCCAAGAGCGGGTCATCCTCATCCATGGGGAGGCCTGGCCACCTTGGATCAGGAGAGGGCGGAGGTGGAGGCCTGCCATTTGCGGCCTGCTCACCACCCTCGCCTAGTGCTCTGATCCAGGAACTAGAGGAGCGCCTATGGGAGAAAGAGCAGGAGGTGGCAGCTCTGCGGCGGAGCCTGGAGCAGAGTGAGGCAGCGGTAGCCCAGGTGCTGGAGGAGCGGCAGAAGGCGTGGGAGCGTGAGCTGGCAGAGCTGCGACAGGGCTGCAGCGGGAAGCTGCAGCAGGTGGCCCGCCGCGCCCAGCGTGCACAGCAGGGCCTACAGCTACAGGTGCTGCGGCTGCAGCAGGACAAGAAGCAGCTGCAGGAGGAGGCAGCCCGGCTGATGCGGCAGCGTGAAGAGCTTGAGGACAAAGTGGCCGCCTGCCAGAAGGAGCAGGCTGACTTCCTACCCCGGATGGAGGAAACTAAGTGGGAGGTGCGGGTTGGGGCTTTGGGCCTTCTCCCTCTACATCCTCTTCCTTCTGTCCACTGGAGAAACCCAGAATAGTAGCCTATCACAAGGGATGAGAAAGGAATGGAGGCGGGCGGGCAAAATCAATTAGGAGTGTCTGTGAGGGCAAGAGGTGTCCCTGGGCTGGATGAGATTGGCATGTCTGTCCTGAGTCTGAATGGGCCCTGTGTGTCACTTCTGCCCAGTCTGATGCTTTGGGGAGCCCTGGGGAAGCTTGGTACCTCTGGGGCTGGATAGGGGAATGGGGTGGGGTGAGCAGAGCTCTATCTTCACTCTGGCTTCTACCACCCGACCCTGCCCACTGCCCAGGTGTGCCAGAAGGCCGGGGAGATTTCCCTTCTGAAGCAGCAGCTGAAGGACTCACAGGCCGATGTGTCCCAGAAGCTGAGTGAGATTGTGGGGCTGCGCTCCCAGCTGCGGGAGGGCCGGGCCTCACTGCGGGAGAAGGAGGAACAGCTGCTCAGCCTGAGGGACTCCTTCAGCAGCAAGCAGGCCAGCCTGGAGCTGGCTGAGGGAGAGCTGCCTACCACCTGCCTCAAGCCAGCGCTGACTCCCGTGGACCCAGCCGAGCCGCAGGATGCACTGGCCACTTGCGAGAGTGATGAGGCCAAGATGCGCAGGCAGGCCGGGGTGGCCGCCGCTGCCTCCTTGGTCTCCTTGGAAGGGGAGGTGGATGCTGGTGGGGAGAATGGGACACGGGCCCTGCGGAGGGAGGTGGGGCGACTGCAGGCTGAGCTGGCAGCTGAGCGGAGAGCCCGGGAGCGCCAGGGAGCCAGCTTTGCTGAGGAGCGCCGCGTGTGGCTGGAGGAGAAGGAGAAGGTCATCGAGTATCAGAAGCAGCTTCAGCTGAGCTATGTAGAGATGTACCAGCGCAATCAGCAGCTGGAGCGCCGGCTGCGGGAGCGCGGGGCCGCGGGGGGTGCCAGCACACCCACCCCCCAACATGGCGAGGAGAAGAAAGCCTGGACCCCCTCCCGCCTCGAGCGCATTGAGTCCACAGAAATCTGATCCCTGACCTGGGATTGTGGTCTTTTGATAAATGCCCTGTCAAAGGCCAGAGTCTCCAGTATCCCCTCCCACCATCTCTCTTCCCCATGCCAGTTTCCTCATATCCCCAGACCAAAGAGGTTCTCAAAGCAGCTGTGGCCAGATCAGATCCCTCACCTCCCTGTACTGAGTGCCCTCCCAGCTCTGCCATTGCCCCCCTGGGCAGCCCACTTGGATCTCCTCCTGAGGAGGTAATGGGGAGGGCAGAGCGAGTGGGGATGAAGGGTCCAGGCTCCCTTTGTTGACACACCCTTGTTGGAGATAGAGGCGGCAGGCCTTCAGCACCATGAGGTGCCCTAGCCCCTTGATGGGTCTGAGCTGCTACTGTTGGCTACCTTGTGTCCAGTGATGCTCTCTGTGCTCACCTTCTAGGCCATGTAGCTTGAGGGGGCTTGCATGGGGTCTGCTGAAACTGACAGACCTTGGGCTCCTGGCCTCTCTCCTTCCTGCACTATTCTCCCTCCCTCTGGGCAGATTGGCAGGACAAGTAGAAGCAGATGGCCTGCCTGTGGTTGAGAGGGCTACCTGCCCAGCCCCTCCCCCCCAAGGTCTCTTTGGCTCAGGCCTCAGAGCTTGGCTTGGTCTTAAACGTGTGTCCATATGTGTGTGTTGGGGGATGGAAGGGCTGAGGCTGGAGGCTCAGTGCCAGGGAAGATCTGCCTTCCTGTTCCTGGGAAGGGTCACCTGGAGGCTTCCTAGCTCTACCCAACCCCCCTTTTGGCCAGGATCTAAGGGCAACAGCCCCATCTGCTTGGCTAACCCCACACCCAAGGCCACTGTCTGGCTCTAACTACAGCTATTATGTGCTACCTGCCTCTCAGGCACTCCCCTCACCCAGTTCCTGAGGTCATGAGTGTCTGTAATGTCTTCCTGTGTCTTCCCCATTCTATTCCCTAGCTTCATGCTTTCATGGTCAGAACATCATTGTCCCAGGCCACCTCTTCCCCCAAACCTCACCTTTTCTTCCAGTAGAAAATTCTGCTTGATTTTTGGTGCACTGCCCACTTCCAAGCTCCACTGGGCCCAAGCCTAAGCCTGAGGCTCTTGCTTTGGGGGCAGGTGTGGTGGTGATTGTGATTGCCCTTGAGGAACAGGCTGACCTGAAAGGAACATTGACCCTTGGGTTCCCAGGGCCCCGAGGTAGCCCAGTGTTTGTCCAGGGTAGGCCTGGCATGGCCATCAATGGGAGTTGGGACAGCAATGTGACTTCCTCCTTTCTGGGCCCTCTCAGAGTCCATCTTCCCAAGATAGGAAGGGAAAGGCAAATTTCTAATTCACCAGCAATAAAAATTAGAGGAGGCTTGGGCCCTTAGTCCTGATATTTCTGTTTTTACTCTCTTCCTTCTACCCCCAAGACTGAGTTTGGGGGAAGGGCGGAGAGAGCTGGCAACTACTGTGAGCAAGTCCCCAACCCCTGACCAGCCTCCTCCCATGACTGGTGACTGTTTAACAAGCTGTGCATCCTCCACAAAAACAGGAGTGCCCCTCTGTGTGGCCTCTATCCCTTTGCACAGCCCCTTCCCGTGGCCCTCACCAGATTGCTGAACTGGTTTGGGGGCCATCCTGGCAATCACTGCCCATTCCACTGACCCCTCACTCCACCTGCCCTCGCACCTGGGCCTGGGCCAGAGGGGCAGGGGGAAGAGAAGGCATTAGTAGGGAAAAAAAAAGAAAAAGAAAAATATGAACAGACTCAGCTTTGGGACTTCCAACCACAAAATAAATTATATATAAATATATATAAATATATATCTCTACCATATGTGATAGAAAAACTTCATTTTCTTTTCCCAAAGAAATAAAATGGAGAATGACTCCTGAGTGGCATTCTTTGGCCTGTTCGTGTCTTTGCAGATGTGGGAGGCCTGGGTGTGGAGGGCAAAGCCGGACTAAACAGATTTCCCAGAGGTGCCTTGAGACAAGGTGCTCACTGGGCCGTGCCAGGAGTTTGGCTCAAAGCCCAAGCTTCTCCATGTTAAGAGGAGTTGTGGTTCCACATTTCTGCCCAATGAGCCTTTCTTTTCAGTTAAGACTGTTGCCAAAAGGGTTTCAAGCTGGTTCCAGCTCAGAATCTGGACACCAGGCTACTGTCCAGAAGGCAGGTGATGCAGGACAGCTAGAAGAAGCCTGCAGGGGCCTGAGCCACCTTGCAGTGATGGGCTGATGTATGAGGACAGAATACATAGACATGAAGACGGAACTGGTTTGTGCTGCCAGCAGGGAGCCATCCTTTTGTAGGTAAGTGCTGTCCGTTATGATAATTTCTTCTGTCCTCACAAAGCCTGCCAATCAAGAACACATTTCACTACAAGTAACAACCTGATTTACAGGACCTTAAAAAGTAGTTTATTTTTTCTCATCTGACAAATCTGGTCATAGGCATCCTAAGTGTCATAGGTGTTGGTTCATCAAGGACCTAGGCTGTTCATCCTCCTACTTTCCCATTCTTAGCATGTTGTTCCCTCCATGCCACAAGGTGGCTGCCACAGCTCCATGAAGTCACTGAGGCAACTCCATTTTATCATGAAAGTAAAAGCTTTTCCCCAGAACCCTCTCAGCACGTTTCTCTTTAAATTTTGTTGACCATAACTGAGCCACGTGCTCTTCCTACTTCAAAGAAGGCTGGGACATTGAGTATTTGGCAAAGAAGAACAGGATTGTCATGGTTGCCTAGGACCAATATGTTTCATTCCCTGGGGATGGGCTTTCTGCTCTCTGGGTTCTGCTGGCAAAGACAGAGTCATAATCAGCAACTAACAGTGTTTGCCCTGGTCTGGCCTGAGTGAGAGGACCCTTCCTGAGCAGTAGTTGTCAGTGGCCTAGGGCCCCAAAGGTTCACACCCAGGCAAACAGTGCCCTCCACAGAGGTCAGGAGTTGGGATACCAGGCTTGCTCCTCTTTGCAGTGATGTATACTCCCTATATTGATTTTGTCTCCCTGACAAGATGGTGCCCCGGAGGGAGTACCAATTCTCAGGTCTCCTTCACAGCCCTTAGGATGAATGGGCCAGCAACCAAAGCACTGACAAGTTATGATGACCCTGACCAGCAGCTCTCCAGTGCCCCTAGGAATGGCAGTTTGAGGCTAGACCCTCCTAGAAGAAGTCGGTGGAGCCTCTTCCTTGCCCATACTGACTCAGGAGCGAACCTCCCTACTTAGAGATGTGAAGGATCACTGGGGCTCATCCGCCATAGCACTGGCCTCCTCAAGCTTCGGCTCACATCCATTTCTCCTACCGGGTTTTCCTATGCATCACTAACTCTTCTCCTTCCCTTTTTAAATGCATGATTACCCTCATTGTACAGATGAGAAACTAAGAGAGTTTATGCGACTTCCTCAAGGTCATAAAACCCTGAATGGTGGTCTGGGATTCGAACTTGTGACTACGCTATTCAATTGCTTCCAAAGCGGTATATCTACGGCGGTGTTTCTCATCCGCAGGTCCTAGATTCCCCCTGATTCTTTATTGTCTTTCGGTGGAAGTCGTCCTTGAAAAACGCTGAGAGTCTTTTGAGCCTCGGCTGCACCCGTCACTCGCACAGCTGCCGGAAGTACCGGGCAGTTGGCCGGAAGTGGGATTGCGAGGCCCGGGTATAACAGGCGTAGTCGCCGTGGTGCGGCAGCCTGCGGCATCCTGGGTCTGGTGTCGTGCTTCGTTCTCGCGCTGGCCAGGCTCAGGTGAGTGGTGGCAACCGGGGAGGACGTCGACCTGAGCCGTGGCCCTCACCTCCTGCCCCTTTCGCCGGTCCAGAGCTGGCGCGCTCCGAGGCCCAGCTCTGCGCTTCCCGGTCCATTGAGGCACCTCTCGCAGGCCCGGCTCTAGTGAGAACCTCGGTGACCCCCGGCACTCCGGAATTCTGTGACCTTGGACAAGCGGCTTATCTGAACCTTGATTTTTTCGCTGTAAGACTGAGATAACAATACTTGCTTCACAAGTATTGTAGTGATGTAGTCCGCTTCCCTCCACTTATCACACTTCAGTGTGCATGTGAATCACTTGGGGTTCTGGAGGTTCTGATTCTGTAGGTCTGGGGTGGGGCCAGAGATTCTGCGTTTCTAACCAGCTTCCAGGTGAGGCTGTTGCTACTGTTCTGCAGTCCACACTTTGAACAGCAAAGCCCTACAGTATTTTGCTTAGTACCTGGGATGGAGTGAGTCTTCAGTAAATATCAATACGATATGTACCTTTTCCTCATTTTAACAGTTTCTGGTTGCACAAGCCTAACAAGAGTAATATTTATGTTCCCTTCCCTTTTTTCTCTCCAGGAATAAGAAAAATAATTGCTTTTTCTTTATATATACAAATCGTGACACAGCGCTTCTGTCCTGATTCAGGAAGCTTTGAACCCTCTTTATACCAGTTAGGTTAATCCGCCTCCTGAGGTGTTGCTTCATTGCTCACTCACTGTAGACCCTTGGACAGTGCTTCATCCTGTGGAGTTGGTAGCCAAGTGCTTTACCAATATGGCTGATGTTTTGTGCTTCAGTTGTTTGTTGCTGCTGTAATCTGAATTCATGTTTTCTGCACTTTGGGCACATTTTGAGTAGTTAGAACAGCTGCCTTTCCAGAACTAGATTCTGCAACTCACTGCTCCCAATAGCTTCAGGCAAGCTTTGGGATGAATTTACTACTGCCCGGTAGACCAAAATAAAACCTGTTGTATAATACAATTGAGAAAGTCAGGCTTTGGGCAATTATGCAAGTCTAATTTATTTGTCAGTATGGCTTTCCCATTTACTGGTTTATTTTTCTGGTCCTCAGTAAGGCCTTGTCATTCATCAAGTAAGTCAGCTTTGATACCAAAGAATTTTGAATTCCTCCTTCACTTGTCTGAAATACTATATTGTGCGGCCTTGCAAATCTAGGAAAACAGGTGAAACCAAGTGTTCGATCGAGTTAACAGTGATAGGTTAACTTGGACCATTTATTTGGGAATTTTTCACATGACTCAGGGTGCAGATACTTCTCTTTACCTGCCTGGATTTTGTCAGTCCTCTAGTAGTCCCATTTAGATGGGCTGAGAGGATGTGAGTTTCTGCTTTCTGTTGTTATACTCAGAAATTTTCTAAAGACATTATCAGTAGGGGCTCTAACAGAATTATCTTTGGGGCCTTGTTGGACTATATCTACTGGCCCTTCTTGCCATTCTGATAGAGAAATAGCAGAGTCTTAGAAAAGGAGAGGGTTATGTAAGCTAAAATTTAACAGATGATTGTGATGTGCTGTTTTCTTTCTCATAAGCCTGGAAACTAGAATGAAATGGAGGGGACGGGCTGGGCTGTTAGACTTAATTAAGGTTTGTCTTAGCTCTGTGGGTGTTACTGATTTGACTTTAACACTTTTACATTAGTTCTTTACCTTCATACTAGTAGTAGACCTTGCCCCTCCTTTGTAGGCTGTGCTCTTGGGTGGAAGTAAGCACAGAAGATTCTAGTCCAGTTAGTATCTGCATTGACAGCTAAGAGTCCATACTGTCAGTCTCTAAGCCTTCACCATGGGCTTTAAAGCTTTGTAGCCTCTTATCAGGAGACTCTAGCACCTAGAGAGAAAAAAATTTTTTTAAAAAAATTCTTAGGGTTGCACAACAAATTATTTGCTAAGAATGGGGTTTGAAGTATCTATTTATTTGTGGCAATTTTATCAGGACATAAGAGAATTAAACTTTTCTAGCCGAAAGATCAGAAATCAGAATTAAGGATTGAGATCTGGTAACTGGTAAATTGAATATGCTGAGGGTGTCATGTACTTAATCTACAGTTAGTATGGCTGCCTTCCTCCACCTGGCTTTCTTCTAACTTCTGGACTATAGTTTAAAACGAAGCTATTCGACCTTGCTCAGACCTGTACCCGGAAGGTAGAAAGGTAAGATTCCTTGCTTCTCTGAAATCACATCATTCAGGGTGGTTTGGGCAGTACCATTCAGAATAGCTGTGGTCCAGGGGTCTCTGAGTTTCCTTTCTGGTTCATTAGGACCCCTAAAGAGGAAGTGGGGAGGAGGGTATACTTGGGGCACTTAAGCTAAGAAAGGGGCTTTGTGGAATGATGTCACGTATATTTGAGCCTTTAGAGAAGGCATCAAGAGTTATTGATTGGGCATCTCATGGTGTTCTTTTCTCAGCTTTCTTATGGATTTTTTGGGAGTCCTTAAGTGAGGAGGAATTAACTCTCAGCTGTGTTTTTTGAATCTGGGTAACACAACCTGACCTCTCTTTTGCAGTGCCTTTTCTCCCTACTGTTCTGCTTTATTGGTTCTGTATCTTGTATTTCTTTCATTTCCTTTTCCACAGTATTCAAGACCCAACTTCTGAAGTGGTTGTATTTCACACCTGTATATGTAGATATGGTGTCTGTATACTTAACACTAAAAGTTGCATAGTGAAAAAGTAAGTAGCTACTGTTTGCTGTTTGCAGTTTGGCTCTGCATGCTTCTAATTATTTTGTCATCATTTCTGCCCATTCTGTGGGCATCCATAAAAAAAATTCTATAGACAGGATGTGCTTGTACTAGATAAAGCTTTTCATCATTTTCTTTGAATATTAAAGTTACTTTCTCTATTCACTGTCTTCTTGAAGAATACGTTAATTTCCTGATGGCAAATGCATTTCGTAAATTTAATTTTTGTCAAAGTTATACACATAAATGGTTTACACAAATAGTTTGACCAAGCTCGTAACACAAAATATTAATATCCTCTCTTTTCCCCCTTCATTTTTGTTCCTGTGAGGCATTTTTAACTATGTTTCTTTTGGCATTTATCAGTATATTTCTAAACATATTTGTGTTGCTATTTCTTGATTTCGATAGGAAAAATCTATAGCAATATCTATAACATTTTTTTGACTTCTTTATTGTGGACTTTGAGACTCTGGGTCTCTTGTATCACTACCCAATATCCCCCTACCCGTCTTCACTTCCCTTCATTCTCCCAATTTAGTTTGCTTATAATTTTTGGTTAGACTGATATTCAAGGTTCATAATAATAAGATTATGTAAATATTATTCACAGCTGAGCAGGGAGTATAATGTCACATATTTTGTCTTACACAATTTTTTTTGTTTTCCTGGAGTTAACTTTTGTTATTGTTATTATTGGCTTGGTTTTCAGTCTACCTATTAATTGTTCATCCCCAGATTATCCATTAGAAGTATAAATCTCTCCCAGGTAATATCCATCTCCTCCAGCATGAACAGGTTGCTCTTTATGTCTGCTCACAGCTCTAGTCCTGGGGTCTTCTTTCATCATTATCCCAGAGTTCCCTTTTATTTCTCTCTTACATTGAACCCTAAATTCTGGATCCCATGTCTCTCCTGCCAACTTTCAGGTCTTCAGTAGTAGTAGACCTCTTTACCTTGATACTGGAGTGTCTTATAAACCCATTCCTTCATGTAGATTTCCTTCTTTGAGATATTTTTCTGTTCTTTTTGTAAGTAGTATAAACTAACCATAGTGACAGCTAGGATCCTAGACTATAAGAGGTGGGTGGGCTTTTGAGCTCATCCGGTTCTAACCCTCCAGCTTCCTGGAACCTGGAAACCCTATAGATTGTTCAGTGTCTTCTCCACCCGCCTCTCTGGAACACGACTCCCCTTTTTGTCTCTCCAGTATACCAGCGTTAGTTTTGGAATCAGTCAGTCCTTGATGTCAGACCCCACTGTATAACCTTCGGCAGGTTTCTTGTGAAGTCTCTTCTTCCTCTTTAACAACATAGAGAGAATAAAACCTACCTTACAGAAAGGGTGTAAAGATTGGAACTAATGCAGGTAAAACAGCTCATACAAGGCTTGGCACAGAGGAGGCCCTAAGACAGTTGTGGCTCTTGGTATTTCCATCTAGGGACTTAGCCTATATTTTTACAAATCAAAAAGAGCCACATTAATTCAAAACACGGGATCTATACCAGCCAAGCATTGATATTCCAGGAGATGATTTTTTTGTTCATTTTAGGACCATGCATAGTGATTTTATTAAGTACTGTTAGGTAGTATGAATTGAAATAATTTAAGTTATTTAATGTGCTTTTAAAATTACATAATTTATAAAGGTATTTGTTAAATTAATTCATATACTATTCTGTATTAACAGTTTTAACCCCAGTAAAAAGGGGGAAAAAGTTAATTTATCAAAGATTTAACAGAAATCCTCCACCACAAAGAAGCTGTATAATTACTTTTATATATGTATTTTAGGTGATGGTATTTATTTGTATTCTATTTGTTCCACTGATACTTGTATTTACTTTTCCATGTATTGACGTCTGCCACACACTTATCCTGTAAACCAGCCTTGTCTGGTTGGACAGTTGGTGTTTTTGTTTGTTTCTTTGTTGTTGTTCTTTGCTTTAGATAGCACACTATTTTGTTAAAAAAATAGTTTTGTCTTTTTAAAAAGTTATTTCTTCAGATCTAGTTCCCACGATGAGACGAAGGACTACAGATTTGAATAGTTTATGGCTTTAGTTGCACATTGAGTTGGATTAAATTTACATTCCAGATTCTAAAGCAGATCTTCTTAAAAACCCTATTCTGTCAACTGAAGAGTTCCATTACTTGCTCTCTCTTTTCTTTTTACCATGCTTGTGCTGCAGTGTTAATTGAGATTCCTAGTGAGTATTTTGAGGCATAAATCTTTAATTATCATCTAAACATTAAAGACAAAATTATTTCAGTATTATTTTC